ATACTAGCTCCTTTCAACTCCCTCTCCTAGATCTAATGTGAGAAGTTGTTTTACCAAACGTTTATGCTAAACAGATTTAGCTCCACTAGTAAATTTATTCGTGGAGCTAGAAAAAAAAAACTACTTTACCAGTTAAGCGGAGCTATAACAAATATGGCCTAAGTCTAAAACACAACAAGGTAGTCAAAAAATCTCCATTGATTTAGCAATGACAAACATCATTAAATGTCAAAACTCTGCCGAATAAAACTTCCTTTGGATGGAGAAAACGAAAATGTCAAAATTCTCTCAACGTTTAGAGATGCAGATGGATATGAGTTCCCAGGGCATCCTGCAACCGCAGCCGCTCAAACTTTTTTGGATGCACTATCCCCACGACCGAACGTTGATCCTTTGACTGACCCGTGCAACCATGCCATACCACAGCTGGACTGAATGCATGTAAGCCTGGACAGAGGACCAGAGACAGAGGGCCAGAGGGGCGGCACATCTGCCTCGTGGGTCTCGTGACGGCGACGGCGGCACGGCATCTCCCCCTCCCCGCCGCCGCGCTCAGCGTACATGCAGGTTCCAGCGGGCGCCAGGCCGCGGGTCACGTCCACGGTTGGTCGCATCCTGACGGCTCCGTGGCGCTCTTGGTCTCCCTCTGGTTTGGTTGTCTTCATCTGACCAATTTCGTTTTTATTCGGAATATAAGATCCATTCGGTTTTTTTCTAAGTCTCAATAAAAATTTCACAAAACTTAGTTCTCGGGCAGAATGTCTGAGATTTATGTGGGTAGCGCTAGGCCGATCGGATTCACTGGACGGCGGCAGTTGTGCGATGGAGGTGAGCATATGCCGTGGCCAGCGGCGGATGCAGGAAAAATTTTAGGAGGCTGAACAAAAGTGCGACAGCAACATACCTCCGACTGCTGCTCGATCTTAAGTCTCAGCCCCACCTACACGAACGGGGGGCGACAGCCGAAAGGCCGTCCAGCTCGGGGAATTCCGAATTCAGATCTCGATCTTCATGGCACTAACTGACGGCAAAGTTTCTGATGCGCAGCGCAGCCATGGATCCATGAAGCCACTACTATGGAGATGGCACCAGTGGTCGGTGCAATTCAGTCAGATCAGACACGGACGGAGCACAGGTTCACTTCACGCTCGGCCTGCCTTGGTTTTCTTAACCCGGTTGGGTGATCGATCACGATCAGGAACCTGATTCTTCATCATCTGAATATCGCAACACACACGTCAGACTTGGATCAAAAGGCGCGACTCCAAGGAGAAAAAGAAGGAGCCACCTTTGTTTGTTCCCTCCGGCCAGCCGGCGCAGCCGGAGCCAGCCACAGAAGCTCGTCCACTGCATGCGTGTAGGTCCGATGGCTAGCAGGGCTTTATTCGTTTTGTTTCTCTCTTTGCGAAAGCAAAGGCTAGGGCAGGAGACAAGTGTAGTTAATTAACAGCAGCACACGTACGTATTTCTTTGTTAAATTCGTCGAAGAAGCTAATAAGCTCTGCCACTGTGCCTTGTGTGTCAAACAGGGAATCGGCGAGTTGTCAATCTCTGACTGCATGCCGAGCGAGACGTGCTGGAAAGAGAAAGGCAATCGATGACAGCCTTCGCCGACCCATTGGTCAGTGGTCACACAGCAGGCTGGCCTTATCTTGACCTGGAAGAAAAGAAAACCAAGGCGGCAAGGAAGGAACGTAGCAGCAACACACTGGACACTGCCCTGCAGCTGGATTGCAGGTCGTAGCCCGTAGGCTGTGCTATATAAACCCGGGGCGTGGCTCGTTAAGGTGGCAACAGCACCAAGGCAAGTAGGCAACCACGTACCATACCCGTGAGAGCTAAATTCCATTGCTCACTACAGCTTCGCCGTGCGTGCTCTAGCTAGCTAGAAGCGAGGAGACAAGGATGGAGAACAACGGCAACAGGCAGCAGGCGCCGCCGCCGCCGCCACCAGGTCAGAGGATTGTTCTTAGCTTGTTCATTCATGAATCATGATGCTTGTGGATGGATGGATGGACACATGCTGAAATGACATGTACGCAGCAGGCTACCCGACGGCGGCTGCAGGCGCCGAGGAGCAGGGAGGCAGCAGGAAGGGACGCCGGGGGAAGACGACCTCGCGCGGGGAGAAAGGCTTCATCGAAGGATGGTAATTATAATCTATCTCCTGATTAATTCCATCTATAAACTGAAATCTTTAAGAGTTACTCCGTAGTATATATCATCCATGTCGACCAATCTCTTCGTGTGAGCTTTTCGCGCGTTGGCGCCAACCTCATGAACTGAACTTGAACTGTCCTGTTTTGGTTTCAGCATCGCGGCGCTCTGCTGCTGCTGGATCTGCGAGATGTGCTGCGACTAGGCACGCCGCCGCAGCTCGCTCCGGCAGTCCGGCGGCCATGCATACATACGCCGCATGTACACGCACGGATGCATGCATGATGAGAGCCTGTCTTCTTTGACAAGAGAGATCTGCTCAGCTGTTTACTTGTTGTTTCGGTGTAGTAAGGAGCTTAGCTTAATTTATTAATAACTGTGATGATGAGATGATACATGCGCTAGCTGCCTGTCTTTTATTTGTGCTGTACGTGATGTGTGTATTGAGTGTTGAAGGTGGCGTTGGCGATTTATATACGTGAACCTTCTAGGTGCTATATATATATATATACTTGAAAATGTCTCATTCAATCACTCTCCATGCATTATCAAAAAAAAAAAAAATCACTCTCCACGTGTGTTCCTTGACAAAGCTCTTATTCTCGACGACTCGTGGTGTGTAGGTGTCGACATTGTGATTGTGACCTCTGAAATTGCACGATTGACCCCACCCTCTCTTTTATTTAAAACATTTCGTACCATTACCCCTGATTAGAGTAACTCGACGCACCAGCACCACTGCTCCTTGCTCTGCCCATGGTTTTGCCACAACCTTTATTATAGCTTTTAGGCTGTGGCTATAAAAGCATGCTCTTAAAAAGTAACACTAACAAATCACATGAAATGCTTAGCGAAGATATCCAAAGCCGACGTCTCTAACTCTAACCCCACTTCAACCTTGGGCATGTTTGGGACAACAGTCGTGGACTGCGCGGTGCGGTATAGGAACCGCGAGGGTCGAGCCGCGGTACAAGAAACTCGCAGTGCAGTTCATTTTTGCGATTCCTCTGCCGTGTGCGGTGGAAACAATCATCATGACCGCAGGCTGTTTGGCGTGATTATTGGATTCTTTTCGCCGCCGCCGCAGGATACGCAGTCCCAAACACGCCCCTTGATGTGTCGCTTTTCATTTGGAGAATGGTCTGAAAAAGAGTTCAGTATATAGCCTTACAAATAACCTGCAAATACGATTGGTTGTGTGCATAGCTCGTGCTGGGATAAAAATCCTGTTTCTAAAAGAAATTGTTTTGCCATAATTTATATAATAAACAAAAAATGCAGAGGACCAATGGTGCAAAGCTGACGAAAGCGAGCACGGAGAAATGCAGAATGGGCTTCCGCTGTAGGGCTGTCTCGGCCTACTTGGCCGTGAGTCCATACGTACACAAGCTAACACATTGGGCTTTTCTACCTGGGCCTCCGCTCCAGGACGCCCATCAACGTCGCCGTACATGCGCCGTGGGCTCTTGGATGGCACGCGTCAATTTTGTCGTCTTGGGTTGGAGCTTCGACTCACGACGGTCGGCCCAGTCAGCACGGACGGACCAACCGAGGTGTCAGCTGACTTGGTCAAACTCCGGAACTGGTCAAAACCCCAGCCGCGTTCGGCTTCGGCGCTGTGTGTGCTCTCAGGCTCTCAGCTGTGGCTTGCGAAAGCGAATGACACAAGACACATCGGCGAATCCGCCGTATCTTACCCGCGATCGCGACCTGCTACCTACTAGACAGTACACACCTGCCCAGGTTGCTCTGCTTGCACGCTCTGTGAATCCATTCAATTGCCGCCAAATCTAAATTTAACCGCGGTTCGTCGATCAGAAAAGCACGAGCAGAAAAGGTTAAACCATGAAGTTATTCCACAGATTCACCTGGCACATCTGATGTGGTGCCTGCCTGCCTGATTCGCACTGCGACCGTGATTTATCAACTGATGAAACGCCACGACCTCCCTGTCCCCTGCGGCTGCGTGTCGTAAAAATCGGAGGACGCGGCCCGCGGGACAGGCAGACAGCGACCGACGACGCATCCATCCATCCCCGGCCGCGGCCAGGTCGTCTCCCATCCTCCCGTCCCCCTCCGCCCATGGACGACTTGACCGCTTCGCCGTGCGCACCGCTGCCGCCCCCTTACTCCACCACTCCCACACTTCCTCTCGGTTCCCACCCAACAAAGCCACCGCCTTGGCAGCAGCGGTGACTCCCACCGCCTGCCGCCGCTGCTGCTGCCTGCTGATTGCTCACCTGCCGCACGCGATGGCGAGGGCCGCGGTGGACGTGGAGGACCTGCTGGTGCGCGTGAAGACCGGCGCGGAGGACGAGCTCGCCGCCGTGGCGCGGGAGGTGGCCGCGCTGGCCGGGGACGGCAGGCTCGGGGAGGACGACGACGAGGACGGCCTCCTCGTGCCGGCGCTGCTCGCGCGCCTCGCCGCCGCGGGCACCGCTGACGCCAGGGTCAGTGTCATGGCCGCGCTCAGGCTCCTCGCGGGCTGCGTCGCCGGCGAGAGCAAGGTGAGTTGAGCGAGGCCCACGCACCCGCCCCTGGATCCCCACTCTTCCTTTTCTTTCTTGCCTACGAAATACGAATACATACACGCCTGCGCGCTCTGTGTTCGATGCTATGCTCGTACGCTACTGCTTATACTAGTATAGTACTACCTACGCTACGGTAGTAAATTTCGAAATGCTTCGGTTTTGGACGGTCGACCTCACCATTCCTCTTGCTGCACTTGCGAGTGCTGCCCTCTCACCAAGCTGCATTCAACTGATTATCGGACTTGCATTGCATCTTCTCCATGATCTCTGTTCTGACAATCAGTACATTCACTTCTCTCGACGGCACCTCAGGAGAGGTTCGCGAGCATCGAGGCGCTTTCCAGCATTGTCCGCTCCCTGTCCAGAGACGTCGACGAGAGGAGGGAGGCGATCGCGGTGCTGCTGGACCTGTCGGACATCCCGCAGGTCCGGCAGAGGATTGGCAGGATCAAAGGGTGTATCGTGATGCTAGTCACGCTGAGGAATGCGCATGAATCAGGCACCGTGGACGATGCGGAGAAGTTGCTCAGCATTTTGTCGTCCAACCCGCAGAATGTGCTGTTGATGGCGGAGGCTGGGTACTTCCTGCCGTTGATACAGTACCTCAAACAAGGTATTATGATCTGGCATACTATGTCTCAGATTGATTTTTTTAAGTGTGTGTGAACATAAGTTCTTATGGTTTTCTCCGTATCTTGAAGCCTTTTTAACAACACAAGTACCTACAATAAGGCAGTACAAATTTTCCATTTTATTGTAAGGTCCAGAAAACTTCAACTCTTATAAGAACAATACCTCTCGGAGAAAATGGAAGAGATATTGCAAGTAAAACGATGCAAGAGAAGTAACGATTACTTCATTTGTCAATTTAACTACCAAGAATTTTGGTTCCGTCACTTCTGTTCACCCCTTTCTTATCCATCAGGCTACAATATTCTGAGAAAAAAGTCACTAGATTAACTTCAGCCTATAAATTTGGAATTCAATGTAGAATTCAACTTTCTCCACTCTATCTAACCATATCATCACCAAATAAGCTTTGCCCTCCTATTTACTTTGCAGGTTCTGACATGAACAAGGTCCTTATGGCAACCGCTATTTCAAAAATGTTCCTATCTGAACATATGAAATCTTCCCTCGGCGAGGATGGAGCTATTGAACCCCTAGTGGACATGTTTAAATATGGAAACCTTGAAGCCAAGCACTCGGCCTTAGGCGCCTTGCGTAATCTCTCTAGCTCTCTACAAAATGCAGAAATCCTGATAAATTCTGGTGTAACAGGACCACTGCTCCAGCTCCTTTTCTCTGTGACATCAGTGCTCATGACCCTCAGGGAGCCAGCCTCAGCTATACTTGCATCTATAGCACAATCTGAGCGTATTCTACTTCATAAAGATGTAGCACCTCAGATGCTCTCGCTTCTTAATTTATCGAGTCCGGTAATTCAACTTCATCTTCTGAGGGCCCTAAACAGCATTTCCGGGCACGCGAATGCTAAAAGAGCCAGAAGTAAAATTAGGCAAAATGGAGGGGTACAACTGCTTCTACCTTTCCTAACAAAAAAGAATGTGGATACCAAAATTGCTGCGTTGCATTTAATGTTCCATCTATCGAAAGATTCTTCTCAAGAATTGGCTGAACAGTTCAAGGAGACCCATCTAGATATTTTGGTAAAGATCATCTCTTCTCCTACTTCTGGAGACGAGAAGGCTGCAGCTGTTGGTATCCTAAGCAACCTCCCTGTGATAGATAAGAAGGTAACTGAGATTCTGATGCAGGCAAACTTGATTCCTACTCTGATGACCTTGTTTGAAGCAAACATCGCCGCTTCCGTGACACCTCAAAGAATGTGGTTGCTTGAGGGCATTGCTGGTGTATTTATTCGGTTCACAGTTACCTGGGACAGGAAGCTCCAGAGTTCAGCAGTTGGATATGGGGTGGTTCCTTGCCTTGTTAAGTTGCTTTCAGACGGATCAGTGGACGCCAAGTCTAAAGCAGCGACATCCTTGGCCCAACTATCACAGAGCACAATGGCGCTGCGTAAGTCAAAATCGCCAAGGTGGCTTTGCGTTCCTCCGTCAGCTGAATCCTACTGTATAGTCCACAGCTTCCAGTGCACTGTCAAAAGCACCTTCTGCTTAGTAAAAGCCGGCGCCGTCAATCCTCTGGTTCAGATACTAGAAGGTGAAGAGCGCGGAGCAGATGGAGCAGTGCTGGAAGCACTGGGTACTCTTATGCAGGACGAGATCTGGGAGAATGGGAGTAGAGTGATAGAGAAGGCATCAGGCATCCATGCTCTGCTGAGGATTGCCGAAGCCGGAGAGCTGAGTTCCCAGGACAAGGCGTTATGGATGCTGGAGCGGATGTTCCGGCTCGAAGCCCACAGGGAGCGGCACGGCGAGATCGCGCAGGCTTTGCTCATCGATCTTGCCCAGAAAGGAGACCCTGCCCTGAAACCGATGATCGGCAAGATACTGGCTCACCTTGAGCTGCTGCAAACACAATCTAGCTACTTTTAAGCGTGCAGGTGTTACTGCAGAGATACTGGCCATTTGCAGTTACGCAGGGCAATGCCATCTGACCGGGCAATGATCTGAACGAAATGGTGTACCAGATTGTGGGCCGTGACGTGCGAATCACTGTAACTTCAGGCTGTGTTGTTTATAGCAGATTGTGCGAATATTTTGCACAGCCTCCCTCTGTTCTTTAACATTTGATGTTTGGTCGGTTCGAAATAGAACCAATCAACGTCAAATGTTAAAGAACAAAGAGAGTGTTGTTTTTTTTCCCCTTGTAGATCCAACGAGTTTTGCTTCAAAAGAGTGAGAATATGTAGGATGTATATAGTTAGCCATGTGTACTCCTGTAAAGTTGTAAAGTGGTGACAATGGCAATAGCTTAGATGGAGAATATATTGCCATTTGTACAGCAAACTCGTTCAGCAGAGAAAGTTGAGCCGTTTCCATTCGCATGTGAGGCGTTAATGACTCGTCGTGACTCGTGAACGTGTCATGTCTGTTCTCCTAGATAGAGATGTGTGTTTATCTGGAGTGGTATGCTTTTCTGAGGCCGCACCATCTGATTGTGTGGGCCGTGAAGTGTGCATACCTGTAACTTTAGGCTATGTTGTCATAGCAAAATGTGCGAATATTTGACGTTGGTTAGTTCAAATCTGAGCTAAGTGTGGCCAAATACTAAAGAACATAGGGAGCATTATTTTTCTTGTAAGTAGATCCAACGAGTTTTGCTCGAAAGAGGAAGAAGATGCAGGCTGTATTCTCCTAGATATGCTGATGAGTTTGATGTGCACTACACATACACATGTCGCATGTTATCTGGAGTAGAGTATCGTGGCAGCGAACCCATGTCCTATCGGATCCGTCAAATCCGGTGCGGTGAGTGGCAGCCAGCGAGCCAGCTTTGCAGCCAGGTGCCCAGGCCCAGGCGGCGACGGCACCCGTCATCGGTCATCCGGTGAAGTTTTACCATAAAGCCCCTGCTGAATCGCACGCCAGCCCGTCGTCCCCGTGGCACTTGTCAGTTCGCGTTCGCCACCATCCTCTCCTCTCGAGTCCCAAGCCCCGTCCAAAAACCCCCACCAATCCCCCAAACCCCAACCTTCGCAACAATGGCGGCGCCGCCTGTCCAGCCCGTGCCACCCGCGGCGGCGGCCGTGAACGGGGACGCGTTCCGCCTGGGTTTCGTCGGCGCGGGTAACCTGGCCGAGAGCATCGCCCGCGGCGTGGCAGCGTCGGGCGTCCTCCCGGCCTCCGCCATCCGCACCGCGCCCCACCGCCGCCCCGAGCGCGGCGAGGCCTTCGCGTCCTTCGGCGCGTGCTTGCTCCAAACCAATGCCCAGGTATCCCCTCGTCGTCTCCATCCCTCCCCTCTTGCTCTCCGGTCCTCCTCTCGAGATTACTGGCACATCACTGTGGAAACTCATCTCATCTCGTACGCGAAATTTAACCCCCCGTTCGTGCTAGGTCGTCGACGACAGCGATGTGATCGTCATCTCAGTGAAGCCTCAGATCGGTAAGTGGCGTCTTTTTTTTTTTCCTTTGAGAATTTTGCTTTTCGGATCCAAGGCAGTTGGGAGTTGATTGTGCAATCTTGTCATGTTAAATTTCGTGATCCATGAACAATCCAATGCCCTGTCCGATTTGTTCTCGTGGTATTTGTTTGCGCTACTGCCCATTGTTTTGATATATCATGTACACATCGAATTGCAGTGAAGCAGGTTCTACTTGAGCTGAGGCCACGGCTGTCAGAAGAAAAGCTTCTCGTGTCCATTGCTGCTGGCATCAAGATGCAAGATTTGCAGGTTAATATGCTTTATGCGGATGCAGTAGAACTAAAATGGTCCAATAGAGAATGCATTGTTTAAAATATTATTATTCCAGTTTACCAGGAATACTGATAACATGTTGGTGTAAATGGATAGTTCAGTATGTAAATCATCTGCTCATGCGCATTCCCAATCTCTTGATCCGGTCTGAACAGAGTAGAAGAATTGCATATTGCATGAATCACACTATCATGATAGTTTCGTCCTGAATTTATATTTGCAAGGTTCTGTTTCCTACAATTTTATATTCGTAGAGGGATTCTTCTTGTTTTTATAAAATTGTTTTTTATCTGTTGGGTGTAGCAAGGCCATGATTGGATTCTCTGAGTAAAAATTGTCATACACATCTACAATTTACAGTACATGGAATTATTTGTATGACTATATTTGTGGTGTTCAAACAATTTCCTAATACATCAATTGAATTTCTCATTCTATCTTTCAGTTAATTGGTAGTTCTTACTTTATCATTCAGTTTCTCAATATGATAATTGCCCCTAAAACTACAGAAAACAATAGTTCTGCTCTGTCAGTATTTCAGCTGCTCTACTATCTCAGCGGTCAGGGCTATTATGTTATTGTTTTCTCTAGGTCAACACGTTGTATGCTGTGTTGGAATTCTATTTCCTGAGCCCCCACATCCTTCTCCTTTCATTTCAGGATTGGTCTGGTCAACGACGTATTATTAGAGTAATGCCCAACACCCCTTCAGCTGTTGGACAAGCTGCATCAGGTAGAATTTGCTGACAATCCATCAGCTGTTTTTAACCTATGAATAATACATGAAATGTGGTATGCTTTTTATGAATGAAAATTTGCTAGGCAATCTCTGTCATGAAATGACTGCTTTGTGTGCTTAACATTTATGATTATAGAAAATTTGGATGCACTGAAAAATTTTAAATTATCTTTCATAGTGCTATACTAAAGTAAATTATCAGGGGAGGTAACAAGATGAAACACTGTCTGATGTTTTTGCTTCTCACAGTCATGTGCTTGGGAGAGATGGCAACTCAGGATGATGAAAACCGTGTAAGAAAACTGTTCAGTGCCATTGGAAAAGTTTGGACAGCAGAAGAGAAATATTTTGATGCTGTAACTGGCCTGAGGTATGTAGTTGATTATGTACGTGAAATAGGGTGTCAACATTCAAGAGTGAAGCTAATTCCTGTATTTTTAATGTTAATATAGTGGTAGTGGCCCGGCCTACATTTTCTTAGCAATAGAGGCCATGGCAGATGGTGGAGTTGCTGCTGGGCTTCCTCGGGACCTTGCCCTTGGTCTTGCATCTCAAACAGTGAGTGTTCATTCCATTAAGATATGCTGCGATCCACTCTTTGCATATGCTGTATGATTCTTTTAAGTCACCATCTCCTGGTAGACGTTTGTATTCTTCATTAAACTGAGTTCCTTTATGCATTACTGTATCTTGGTTCAGTAAAACTGAGTTCCTTGTGCATTATACGTACTCAGTTTACTCCACCGTTGTCTTTTTTTTTTAATATTAATATAGTGATTTCTGTTTATCGTCTGCTCTTTCTCATAGACGTTTTGGTCTATTATATATGTTGTTTAGGTTCTTGGTGCTGCAACCATGGTGAGCCAGACAGGTAAACATCCAGGGCAACTGAAAGACCAGGTCACTTCTCCAGCAGGGACTACCATAGCCGGGATTCAGGAGCTCGAGAAGGGCGCATTTCGTGGAACGCTGATTAGTGCTGTTGTTGCTGCCGCAAAGCGTTGCCGCGAACTGTCATAGAGTTCGATCCATATTCATTTTGGCGGATTTTGACAATGATGCATTTTGTTGATATACATGCGTTGGTCTGCAAGGTGCAAATTGTTTGGAATATTAGATTAATAATGTATTGGTGGCTTTAGAGCGGCGAGATGTAATCATGGTATTTTGCAGAATCAAGTGACAGTTATGATAAGTACATGTTTCCTTGCAAAGCTTGGTGTAACCATTATCATCAAACGTCGAGCCTTAACCATCAATCTAGAAACTAGGGCAAATGTTTTATTCAAGAATGCGACTTTTTTTAGTTTTTCACAGCCCAGAGAATTAAGCGCACATTTTACCTTATTAAGTTATAATAAGGACATTCACTATTAAAATACGTGCATAAGCAGACACATCGGCCACAGTTTTATACTGCGGTGTTAACCACACACCACAGCATATAGGCATATAGCGTCAGCTAAAAAATCTTCAAGCAGTATTAAGGTTTATACTGCGGTGTTAACCACAGTATATAGGCATATAGCATCAGCTCAAAAATCTTCAAACAGTATTAAATTGGATCACAAAGTTGGAAATACAGGGCCTTGACAAGGTTTTCACAGCAATCTGACATACAAATCTCATAGTACCGTGTTACTATACAATCAACTTTTAAGCCTTTGGCTACAGCAGAAAAATTCACATGTAATTCCTTGAATACCATCGATCTTCTGGAGTCCATTTATCTTCGTATCTTCCAAGCGAGTATCCCACAGCAGGTACATCAGCAAGATGTAGGGGATCTGGTTCTATGCCATAATCAGTCAGTGGACGGTGCTCAAGAACCTTATCATGTTCAATAACAAAATCTGGAATTTCAACTTCTCCCTTTCTTATATCGCCCCAGAGATACTCCAGTCGACTAATGTACTTGATTTTCCAATATAACCTGTAACAGAATAATTAACAGAGGTAAGGAAGTTGTTTGTTAATGTTCAAAACTGAATAAAAATTTAGCCACCAGCATTAAAAACAAAAGGTCAATGGATCAATAATATTCTTGGCAGCTCAGATGGAACGACTAGAAGAAAATTGCAGCATTCTACCTTGCCAACAATATCCAAATATTCAAGACTTGACAGTAAATAAAGAATAGACAGCAGTAAACAAGACAGCAAGTAAATAAGAGTTTATTGCTACATTGCAGTCCATTTGAACTCTATTTTCTAAAAATAGGGACTGCATGCAATGAATATTCAGTAATGACTGTTTATTTCCATTTTCAACATTTACCTTATTAAGAAGAATGTAATTTGCCTTCTACTTTAACTGTCTATAAACATATTTGTCTTACATACACAAAGAAAAGTGATCAGTTGAACTTTATTTGTGTATAATATATAAGCATGACTATTGAGTACAGAGAGGATTATATAGGCATGTAGCATCCTTGTTTTGTTTACAATGTACGAACAGCTTCGGTAGCAGCCAGCTTATATAACAGTAATGCCTGAGAACAAGATGAAAGAATACTGACCCTCCACTTAAAAATAGCCTGCCAAGTGTGGCGATGGCCAGCCTGGAGCGAAGCCCAGGATGCAAGAAGTAGAAAACTTGAAGCCTTTCCTTGTATTCAGGTGGAAGCTCCTCATAAATGGTCCTCAAGATTGACATCCCAGGGTTGTTATCATCAGACTGTACAGTACTGTGCATGTACAAGATGCAGAATGGACCCACAGGCAATTCAGTGCGGAGTTTGTAGAACACATACTTCTTCAGACGTTCACCATCAATTACTGAAGCTGAAAACCCAAATTCCAAGTAAATGCCATGTAAACATTGACACCAAGAATAGTCTGGGAAGCAATAAAACTAAGCTTGTAGCAACAAACAACAAGGATAATGAAGCTATCGAGGCCTTATTCAGCTTGTTGGCTTGTTAATAGCAATAGTGAAAGAATAAAAAAACTGGACTGGCACTTGCCTTTTTTCTTTCTTCGTCTAATAGAAATCGCGGCAAAGCTTTTGCCGTCCTTTCTAAAAAAAAAAATAGTGAAAGAATAAAAAATTGATCAGGTCTACTGATATACTGGCTGGAACTAATAACTTCATACAATTCAGCAAACAGATTGACCATCCATCCTTAATTTAGAATTACCAGAAGAAAATATACACTTTGCTGGTAGAGGAGCTTCAATACAATAAAATAAGCTACAGCCTACATCAGATCTTGTACTTGAAACATGTAAATAGGGTGTGGATGTTACGCTGGGAACCTAATTATGATAAATTCAATCAAACGATCCACATATCCGAATTTTGTTTTTGGATAACGCATATCCGAGTTAAAAAAGGTAGCATATGATCTATCATCCATTGAATAAAAGTTGGTTGGTACGTAGTCCTCAATCTGCAACACAAATCGTTACTGTAGGTACTTGCTGGATGGGATTCTGATTTCACCTAAAATTTCACTTCAAGTCAGATATAAACTATCGGCCAGGAAGAGATCTAGTTTGAACCAATCAATACTAGGAAGCTCACACCTAAATAAATCATCAAATACTATAAGCGCATGAAGCATCCCCAATCACGAATTGACAAAAACCCCTAAGAGAGCGGTGGAAGGACTGCAGCTGTAAGGGGAGCAACTACGTGGTGGATTCGCGCACCCGGGAAGAACTTGCCGACGATGCGGACGATGGTTCGGCCGGCCCGATCGGTGCCCTGGACGCGCACGACCTGGCGCTCCTCGAGGTCGTAGAAGCAGGCGTCCGTCTCGGCGAGGTCGGGGAGGCAGTCGTGCCACACCTCGCGGTCGGTGGGGGCGAGGAGCGCGGCGCTGGCGTCGGTCGCGAAGTCGGAGCCCACCACGACCACGGAGAAGTCGTTTCCGCCGCCGCTGCCGCCGGAGCCCGACGCCATCGGTTGGCTTGGCTGCCGCCCGTAGCTTAGCACTCCGTCTCCGTCTGTCTGACTCGGTAAGCCGGCCGTCCACTTCCGACCGACAGCCACAACTCGGGCAGAACGAGGCTCTTCACTGTTTTGGGCCGTGACGCGATTTTGGACCGGAGGCCCAATGGTGGACGGAAGCGAGCGGGTTTTGGCCCATCTTTCAGAGCCGAATACACTACAGTTCAGGGATGGCCATTTGCTAAGCACTCTGTCTTTGCCCATGATTCTATTTCTAGGAAGTACGCCTTTGGCTTAGTTAGTGTGTCCGATGATGTGGTTTGAGCGTACACCGTGCTAGCTAGCCAGCGGGTTTAAGTTTTCTTTGATTTGAGTATGAATGTTTTCATCTTTTTGAAAACAAACAAAAACCTTATTTCTTCCTATTGGAAGAAAAGAAGTCTAAATGAAACTCTAGGCATTATGCAAATTATTATCTTTAGGTTTGACAAATTGGTTACAGTGACTAATCAACATTGAGTGATACATTTCCTTTCTCCTTCCTATGGGAAGTGTTTTCCTCTCACAACATTTCAGCATAAGCCAAATTTCAGCATAAGCGAAATTTCGGCATAAGCGAACAGGGATGCCTCCACGCAACTTTACTTGCTCGCACGGCTCATCTTATTAGAGTATATGTTAGCACAGGACATATATTACTGCATTAAAATAATATAATTTTTAGAATTATCATTACGGAGAAAAAAAACCCAGTATGAGGCCGTTGCAATCAGACGAGGAACAATTTACAGCATCCAAGATGAAAGCCCACGCGTTCCAGTACATGTAACAGGTATCACGTCTAAATCAGCCAGTAAGCTAACGACCGGAACAAACCGCCAGGGAAACAAAACTACTGGCCAAAGACACAAGCCTTACTCAGAAGGACAGCTTCTTCCCTGCAGCAAACAACTTCTTCAGGTCTGCCCGGCCCTGATCCTCCAATCCTGCATGGTCCTCGCCACTTCACTTGGGGGTTCTACTCTACATTCCAGTCACCATTGTGCTTTGCTAGGAAGTCTGTCACCTTCTTGTCCACGCCGACACTCACCAAGTAGGCCAGTAATCTGCCCAGGTTTGCTTGCCATCAACTGCAGCTTTCTCCATACACTGATCGATGATTTATGATGAATTTTTTTGAAAGAAGATTTATGATGAATTTTATTAAGACAAATATAATCAGTAATGATACATGGCTTTATGTTGAATCTTACACAGTAATGCATATGGTTTTGGCGTGACAAGATGCCACAAAATATGGTTTGTAACAAAGTTATACAAATGAATTGTACAAAAATTAATTTCCGGTAAGATGATTCGATGCAGTCCATATTTTCCCTCCAACACTGAAGAAGAATGCTCACCATGGGTGGTATGATCTCCAACCAGCAATACCGATAAAACGAATTGATCTTGGCATTCTGCAGTTCGCAACTACTATGAGCGCAGTGGCTCATGCCATGCTCGCAAAGGTGAATCCAGTCCCTAGCTTGCAATGCATCCTCAATGACCTTGTCTAGCCTCTGCGCCATCTCTGGCGTCATGTGATTGATCCAGTCCCCAGCAACTCCCTTCCTGAGGTAGCTTTCGTTCTTGACCCCTGACCTAGTGGTTCCATTTTTATTCACCTCCATGTCCTTCAACTTGCGCAGGCTACACAGCTCCACGGTTGAGCTCACCACCCCTCCCTCACCCTCTTCCTTGGAAAATTCACATCCCATGAACTTTGCTAGCTTCTTGACGTGACTCTCTGGCTCAAGCAGCATATCCTCGTACCTAAGGAACAATACCTTGTCAGGCCTCCTCAGGCTCTCCTCCCAGTACTGGAGAACATGCTGCCACTACGGGCCGCCCGGACAACGGCCTTCACAGAACAGCTCCAAAGCCTCCTGATCATGAATGACTGGGCGTCAACTCCCCCGTTAGCGCTTGCCTTTACAGTGAATGTTGACCCAGAGAGGGAGACCAGCGCATGCTTGGGGTCCCAAAGCCGATGTACACGATCGGACCCCACGAAGCGCTCCTCCGAGATCTTGCTAGGCGGGGGAGTAGGGAAGGTGAGTGGCCAAGACACGCCTTGACGCGAGCGCTTCAAACTCATCCTTGTTCTGTATGGTAATGGTTGGGAAATCACAATGATCGAATACCACTCTTCTACAAGCAGAGCCAAGTTATCCCTCAAGTTCCTTCCAATATTATTGAGAATGAGTTCGATTCCACTTCGCCACAAGACCCAGCTGCGATAGTTAAGAAAATTACAATTGATGGTTTCATAGCCTCAATTTCTAAATCTGTACCGGCCCCTATAATCCCACAACTACCAGAAGCAATTCATGAGAAAGAACCCAATGATCATGAAATGTGAAACACATCTGAACCACCTCAAACCCCACCACCACCACCAAGACCCTATATGTTTACCCCACAACGTAAAAGCATTAGGTTAGCAAACAAGTCCAAAACCAAACAAGGAAAAGGAGCAATCCAAGTTGCAGAGGAGTTGCTTGTCAAAAAGCTAGGAGACTTATCGCCACCAACAACACAAGAGGAACTTGATCAGTTTGATTTTTATGCACAACATCTCGAGCGTCCACTCACCAAGGCCAACATGGATGCCATCAAGGTTCTAATTGAAGTGGGGCAACAAAAAAACAAGAAGAAGAGGGGCAAGATAACCAAAGTGGGATATGGAAATATTCTCAGTGGCTTGATGGAAGTACTCATTGGAAGCTAGGATGGGTTGTTGTGTTCGGTGCTGGTTGGTAGAGATAGTTGTTTTTGCTAGTTGGTTCTAGGGCTTAGTTGTTCTTAGCTGCTTTAGGACCTCTTTGGCAGGGCTTCGGCGGCTCCGGCTTCTGCCCGTCGGCCGCCCACGGGCCGACAGGGGGCTACTGTTCACCGAAGCCATTTTTCTCTCTCCTCCTTTCCTCTCTCACAGCGACCGCCGGAGCCGGAGAAGCTTGTTTTTCGGGCTCCGCGGCTCCGGCTCCCCCTGGCACCTATCGGCCCGTGGGCGGCCGACAGGGGCGGAAGCCGAAGCCGCCGGAGCCCTGCCAAACAGGTCCTTAGTTGTTAGATAGTTGCCAGTGCAGTTGAGTTGCTACTTGGGTCGTTTTCGACCAAGTTGGCTCAGGTTGAGCAAGTACTGCGGCAAAGTCATTAGTTGTTCGGACGATGTTTCAAAGTTGGTCAGGATGAGTGATGCACTCTCCCAGTTGGTGGTTTTTGGGCCTGGTTTCCACTCAAAAAACTGGACCGAACACTTGTATTTTTAATTTCTCCGTCTAATAAAAATCGTGGCAAAGCTTTTGTCGTCCCTTCGAAAAAATCAATTTCGAGGGACTTGACACAGTCACGAGGGTTGCAATGGTGCATTGGATGGTCGTCGTAGAACGGCAGGTGGATGGAATGCTTCAGCGTCGCGAAGGCGAGGGCCTTGAGCCAAGTGGTGCCAGACTTGGAGAAGCTTGCGAGTAACATGTCGGTGGTCTTGGCTTGAAGCAGGAATGGACGCTGGGGACGCCTGCCTTCAATGTTACCTCAGGCAGCCAAAAGCTGGCATACCGGCGAAGCGAGAACGGTGGCCGCCTGACCTTGAGGGGCAGCAAAGAGATTATCGTGGCAATGTTGGTGTGAGGAGTCGTCAATGGTGCATTGGTGCTGCTCCTTCTTGTGCATTGTTCTCTGACTGCCCGGAAGCCATCGTCCTATTGGTGAATCTCAAACGTGAGGTCACTAGTGGTGCGTGCCCAGTCTAGTTGCTTGCCGCAGCCTGTATGTGGGCGAGGGTGCACAAAAAGGATTACATGAGAGAAAAAAACTTATCTCAGTTTAAAGTTAACAGCGAGAAGTTAAGATATAGGTTACAGAGAAACCAAGTTTCACTGAAAGATGATGGTACACAAGTTATCATCATATGATCAGGAATCATTCAGTGAACATTACCACAGGAATTGATTGCATTGCAAGTCACTAACAGTGGAGTAATACTACATCTCCAACTCACATTAAGAGGTACCAGGAGGTGTTGACACTCAAAATTGTCCAAGTGCTTATAGTCACCCAGTTTGGATGGCCAAATGCTTAAATACACTCAGCTTGGATGGCCGAGTGCATATATTCACTTCGCTTCACTGGTTAAACACACATGGTTACTCCACTTGGTTAACTGAGTGTACATGGATATATTTAGGCCAGAGCCAGACAATATGATGTCTTCTGAGAATTATTTGGTTATCTAGAGTTTTGTTTGTCCTCACAAGAAAGATGTCTACACCTTCCAACAATTATCAAGATGTTTGTCTGGGATTTTCGGATTTTGTCTATCCTTTCTAGAGACAATGCGGCATTTTGTCGGCCCTATATGTCTACCTGCAGGGATTGTTGTCTGCTCTCTAGGGTACACAAATGCTTGCTGCAACCTGCATGTGGACAACGGTGCACAAAAGAGAGAATTACTCGTTCTCGCTTCCCCAGAAGTCAATATTTTTTAACTGTGATCAATTATATATAAAAGAATATTAATATTTATAATACATAATTAGTATCATTAGATAGATCGTTGAATATACTTTCGTAATAAATTTATTTGGAGATTTGAATGATGTCTCAATTTTCTACAAACCTAGTCAAAGTTAAGAAAGTTTGACCTGCACACATCCCATAACATCATTCTTTTTGGGACGGAGGAAGTACATGAGAATACCTTATCTCAGTTTATAGTAAATAATTGCGAGAAGTTATCATACAGGTAACAGAGAAACCAAGTTTCACTAGATGATGATACACAAGTTATCACAATCTGGTCAGTAATCATCCAATGAATATTGCCACTGAAAAAATAAAGGTCGAAAATAAATGCAAGTTCTTCCTCTGGTTACCAGCGGATCGAATAATTAAGTGGGGAGAACAAGCGAATCCGGTCTGCCAATTGTGCATGACAAGGAATGAATCGATGACGCACGTGGTGGCGA